AGCATAAAAAGTGTGTTTTGTTGTTGTTATGGAAGGTGGTCTAATAAACTCCACTGGCCTTGAACCACGACACACCTCCACCTGTGCTACAGCTGTACCTCTCTCCTCCTGACGTACATACTGATGAAGGTTTGTCTCATTTGGACTCGTCGCTCGCATCGTCAGACCTGCTGCCACTCATTTTCTGTCCACTCTTCTGTAGTTTGCTTCACCGGTCCTCCCAGTTTCCCTTCCACTGAAACCATTTCTGGCTTCAGTGAACAGTACACGGATCAGCTGAAGGTCCAGATGTAGACTCAGGTCTTGTGTCCTCGGATTCTTAAGGACGTGACTCTCAGACACGAATCATCTGCTGAAACGGGCAACGACTGCAGATCTCTGACCTTTGACCTTCAGACTTCCTGTCCAGCTGCTGGACTTAAATAGTTCAGTTAACACTAAACGGTACATTTAGATTTCCTGACAGCTGTTACGTCAGTCAGTTTTCATTAAATGTGTGATTGTTGGCAGGAAGTAGTGTTTGTGCCCTGGAGCTAAGATTGTTAGCCAGGAGCACCAACTGACAACTTAATGGCAGAGTAATTACGTTCAGTCTTAACAGGCTCTTATTTACATTTGCCAGCGATACAAACTTCATATTAGCTGCACGTCTACAAACAGCAGGAATGTTTTGAGCCTAAACGACTCTTTGAATTTTCACTAAACATCAGCGGCGACGTGCGTTTCCTGAGGCTTTGATGTATAACACAAACCACCAAATCGGTCACAGCCAAAGGCTCCTCTGTGAGTCTTTTAAGAAGCAGCTCTCGGTAATTTTACACATCGTAGTTGAAGAATCGGAGGATTCTGACTGTTTTTAATCACTAAATATTTCACAGAAACTCATCTCCGCTGCACGAGGCTGAGGAGATGAAACAGACTCGCTGTGAGCTCGTAAAGAAAAGAGAAGACGTGAGGCTGAGATGATGGATTTGTCATTGCAGCAGATTTCATTTCCACATCTCTCACTGCGTCTGCATGAACTGTGTGTTTAAGGTCCCACCAAAGCGGATTTAAGTCCCAACTTTGACTCGGCCAAACCAAAACCTTCATTTTGTTTTTCATCCCTTCAGATGGACGTGCTGGTGTGCTTTGGATCGTCGTCCTGCTGCAGAACCTGAGTGCTCTTAGCACATAGCCGGATATTATCCTGCAAGATTTTCTGTTTGAGAACAGAGTTCATGTCTCCATCAGTTACAGCGAGTCGTCCAGAAGCAGCGAAACACCTCGGACCATCACGACCACCATGTTTCACTGTTGGGGTGATGACCGTTTGATTCCAGATGTAACGCGACTCAAACCTTCTGAAAAGTTACGCTTTTGTCTCGTTTTTCTCCAAAACTCTCAATGAGAGACGAGCCTTTGTTTTAGTCAGCGGTGGTTCTCTCCCTGAACTCTTTGTTTTTGTTGACTCGTGACCTCTGACCTTAGCTGTGAGGCCTGCAGTTCTTTAGATGTTGTTCTGGGTTTTTTGTGACCTCCTGGATGAGTAGGCCGGATACTCCCGGGAAGGCTCACCACTGTTCCTACATCACCTTGTTCTCAAGTTATCACATTCACAGGATTTTCACGTACTTTTCCACACAGAGTCAGGCAGGTTTGGTCACTTTTTTTGCAGCTTAAAAAATGAAATAATTTAAAAATCCCATTTAGTATTCACTGTTGTTTTTAATGTGATAAATAAGCAAAAGATGAAGAAATGAGGACGGCGACAAACACTTTTTCAGAGCACAGAGAGCCGGGAGGTGTGCAGTAGGAGGGACAGATGGGTATGAAGTGGGGGTGGGATTACATCAGGGATCTGAGCCCCTTGTTTGCAGGGGTGATGGACAGGTGAGAGGGTGAGGGGTCACTGTGGATCTGTATCTGTGAAGGCAACGTCATGATCTGCAGTGAGAGAAGGGAGCAGGTGGAGGAGAGCCTGGAGAGGTGGAGGTATGCTTCAGAGAGAGAGACAGTCAGAAGAAGTTAGACAGAACACAGGTGTGAGAGGGAGACAGGTGAAGATAGGAGGAGCAGAGTGGGAGGAGTTTAAATACCTCGGGTAAAGTGGAATTCTTGTATAAGGCTTTTTCAGTTCTGTGATATTATTACCGTTTAATTTGGTTACACTGTTACACTCATTGTACCTACTCGTCTTCCTTTGC